TCTTTATTTTCACCACCCCCCTGGGTTATATATATTCCCCATTTTGCGAGATTCTAAAATTTTTTCCAGAATGTAAATTCCATTAGGAGGTAATTGGTTCAAAAAGCCATTTTCCAGGCAATCGCCGGCCACGGCCAGCCAGCCTTTGAAGACTTATTTCACATTTTGTTAAGAACGTAGCAAAATCGATCTCTTCTGAAAACCTTCAGCAATTTTCCAACACTGGGAACGTTCCACCCCGTCAAAAACTAATGACGCTCTTTTGCTCTATACTTCGTGGCTGTTTGACTATGATCTACCAAAAAAAAATACTGCTTTATAGAGCTAAGGCAGGGCTTTCCCGTAGTGGGCTCGTTTAGCTGAATCACACCATTAGTTTAATAAATATGTCAGCAAAGGAGAAGTGTTAGATTTGAGATGGAACAGAGTGGTATCAAAAGATGCAATTCCGTCGTGACGAGAGCAAGAAGGGTCAGTTTATTCAGAGCGGACTCTGGTATTACAGCCGCCACCCCAATTACTGCGGAGAGATCATGATGTGGGCTGGTGTTTTTTTCGTGAGCGTGCACACACTGCCGACCACGGTGCTGAAAGTGTGGGCTGGTGTGAGCCCCGTGTTCGTTACATTCTTGCTTATCTTCGTGTCGGGGGTCCCGCTGCTAGAAAAGCAGGCCGAAGAGCGCTGGGGGGAGACGAAGGCGTACCAAGCGTACAAGGCACAGACGAGTGTGCTGCTGCCCATGTCCAAGCGCAAAATGAAGACGACGTAAGAGAGAAAGAGGCATCACACGACCCGTAAGCTGAAAATGTTGGAATTCATTTCAGAGGTCTGGTTAAACGGAGTTGGGAAAGGAGCTGAGAAGCTGCTACTGAGAAAATAGGTGAGACTCTAGTAGATCAGATCGTTGTATGAGAACGGGGTTGAACCCGTGAGTGTTGTTAGGAGCTCTGGTGGAGCACAACGCTTAAATAATTCAGTCTTCTTTTTCATTGCAAGTGCGAAAGTGCTCGGAACCGAGTTCCAATAGTGTGACGGGGTCACACAGCACCTTGCGCTAGAGGAAGTTATCTTCCGAGAGTATACAAACTCTCAGTGAACGGCAGTTCACAGGTCCCCTCTTTAATTAAAGAGAGCGAAGTGACCTAAATAAGGTAGATTGTAAACTGAGTATATTTATAGGTAGGTTAAGTTTGGGTTTAATACAAACTGTTAGTTACCTATAGAAAATCCAATGTCATTTAACCAATGGTTGGCTTTGAGCGACCTTGGATCCAATGTCATTTAACCAATGGTTGGCTTTGAACGACCTTGGTACCTTGTACCAAATATCTCGGAGTATGACGTGTCATACTCCTGAAGTGTGAAGTGTCACACTTCATGTAACCAGGGTACACTTAGGGCTACGTACCCCGTCACATCCTCCCCCACTTAGGTTCGGTTTACCGACCAATCAGAATGAAGAGGTGTTCGTCACAAACTCTCATTCTCAAAGTCGAAAACCATCGACTTGGCCGCGCAAGCGCGGCGGAGGCTCACTTCACAGTTAGAGCCTCGAGCAGCAACCTGTGCGCTCTTCGTCTAGGTCTCCACTTCGACCGTTATCATGCCTCGTGGCACTGCAAAGAGCGGTGCTAAGACACGATCCAAGGCTGCTGCCGACAAAGGCGCAAGCCAAGAGCTCTAAGCCTCACGGCAAAGGCTCTGCACTCAAGGAGGCTACTCAGGTGGCCTCCGAGGCGATCGGTTCCTCGGGTGACACGGCTGTGGACAAGCGCGCAAGCAAGCGCCGCAGCCCGTCGCCCTCATCTTCAGACAATCGTCCGAACCCTCGGTTCGTAGAACGCGAGTTCAACTCGGGTAGTGAGGACGATGCCGAGTCCGGGAGCACTCATGATGCTCCTGCGGGCTCTGTGGGAGGGCACAGCCCAGTGCCCAGTGCGCACAAAGATGACAGCGTGCAGTCGCTCGCTAGTGATCAAGGTGATCACAGTCCTAGGACCTCTGTGCGCTCTGAGAGTCCGGCTGTCAAGGCTAAGGACGCTCCCAAAGCCGGTGGCGATGAGGAAGAGAATCCTCGCAAACGTCTCTCGCTTGCCGAGGGTCTTGCGCGTGCTAAGGCCTCCAAAGCCGAAGACGCCAAGCCCTCAAAGAAGCGTACTGCTTCCAAGTCTCCACTCCGCGAGGAGAAGGAGACTCGTCGCTCCTATCGGAGTATCTTTGACTCCTCGGATGAAGAGGAGGAGAAGGAGGAAGAAGAGGAGGAGGCGGGTGCTATCGTTGAGCCCCGGGAGGTCTCGAATGACCTCGACCAGCAGGAGGAGGAATTCCAAGCTGCCCAGCGTGTGCGTGGGGGTTCGGTGGCGGCACCCGTCAGCCAGGGAGCTGTCATCAACTCAAGAGGGTATTGGCCTCCCGAGGAGAGCTCTGGGGCTGACCTCTTCTTGAAGGTTCTCGTCGCTCCTCGTGGCCTTGTGGGCGGCCACACTTCTAGGGGCATCTATGAACGAGCCCTTGTTCAGAAGGAACAGTTGTTCGTCGACAACTTGGAGGCTGCTCGGTGTGTGCTTCTCGCGCCACACCGCATCCCTCTTAAGGACTTAACTATGTGTCGTAAGAAGCTCGAGAAGCGAGGTGGTCTCTTCCCTC